GGAGAGAGAGAGAGAGAGAGAGAGAGAGAGAGAGAAGGGTATTTCATAGTGATGGAATAAATTAATGTTTCAGAGGAATTTAGGGGGTTGCTGCTGTGAAATTAAGTACCATTGTGACAGAGTTCACGAATACAGGGCAGAGAGTCAGAGACCAAGATCCTGAGTTGTGGCTCTGAGGAACACTTAGTGGAGCTCAGGGGGATGGGGTGCAAAAATATCAGGTTGAATTTTTTTTTTTGACTGAATGTTTTTTCCATCAAAAATACAGATTTTTTTTTCTAAATCTAAATAGTCTGTGGAAACATCAATTTCGACAACATTTTTGTCAGGATAAAGTCAAAATTAATCATTTCAATTCTTTTATTTCATGTGGATAACATCAAAACATTTTGTTTCAATAAGGTAAACATGTTTTCTTTTGACTCATTTCAATGCATTTCTTTTTTGATTTTTATATTAAACATAAATTAAATATCATGTTTAATATTAAAATGCATCATAAAATACATATGTGTTGACATTAGTGAAACACAATGTTTGACCTTAGCAAAATTAAACATTTTGTTTACGCCGAGTCATTTTTTTTTCTGCATTGAAATTCCATAGGAAGTTTTGAAATTTCAACTTTTTATTCAAACAGCTTTTGATTAAAATGAAAACAAATTTTGAAATGTCAGAATTTCCCCCTGGAACAGAAACTCTGTTTTCCAGCCAGCAGTAGCTGTAAAATACTCTTATGCTCGCCTGCACCTAATGCTGCTCTGTGCCAGGCCAGTCCCACCGTGCAATTTAGAACAGCTTGGAGGGCCGCAGCATGCTGGGGCATAGGGATGACCTACACATCATCTTTCCACCAACCACTCTCCTTGCAATGACGTCAGACAGGGAAGGTTGCAGAAAATTATTACAATGACTCTGCATCACCTGAGAATCCCCTAAGTAGGAGAATCCTTCAGTGGGCAGATAAGCTGGTTTTAGGGCATCTTTGTACCAGGATCTGGGCCAAAAATTCTTGCTATTCCAAAGATCTTCTATAAGTCCCCTTGGGCTTCTTTTAGCGTCCATTACACAGTTTCTCCAGCAGTAAAATGGGGATAATAATATTTGCCTACTTTTAAAGTCCTGAGATATAACACTTTCTATCTGTGCATTACCATTATTAGAGAGAGACAAGGTGGGTAAGGTGATCTTTTACTGGACCAACTTCTACTGGTGAAAGAGACAAGCTTTCACGCTACACAGAGCTCTTCTTCAGATCACGACAGCACTGTAAACATTACCATTATTAACATTCTCCAAGATGTCCCCTTCCTGTATATATTTCTTTGGAGAATTATGATACATTCTACAAAGCTGATTTACTGATCTCAGAGAATCATTCCCTTCAGTCTCACTTTCCAGAAGTGGGAACTTCAGAGAATCATATGACAGTGCACCCATGAGAATATAAGTATTTGGGGCACACTGATGGATAGAAAGCATTCACATCTGAGTGAAATCTGTATTTGACATTTATATTTTTGCAAATGTGTTGTTTTTATATCTTGTTTAGAGACATTTTTCCATGATTGCTTTATGCATAATCAGCTCAGAGTGCCAGTTTTTACAAATTTTAAAACCAAAATTCAGTTTTAACACTCACAATTTGTTCCTGTCTATACACTAATGTATTTTATTCATTAAGGGTCTTGGACTGAACCAAGTTTTTCTTCATTATTTTTTGTTCTAATTGGCTTACCCATTAATACTAATACACGAGATGCCATAATTAACAGATCAAAACAGGAAAACATTTCATAGTAAACAAGTACATGACCTTCCATAGAACACAAAGAGTATTTATTAATAAACAAGTGAGCTTGGACCAATATTATGTGGTGTCTTTTGTACTTCAGATTTATGTGAAGAATTTGGAGTTACGTTCAAGCTACATGCTCATTGCTGTGCAGTTTTCCAAAGCTCTCCATTTTCTGTTTCTAATTTTATTGTACACCAAGGGCTAGTTTGCATTAGTGTTTGAATGCCACAGTGTGCTCAGTGTCTGAAAGTCTGGCTTCTCTACTAACACATGCCAAGAAACCATTTAATAAGCGTGGGTTTTTTTTCCAGAAATGTTCATTTTGTGCCATTCCTTTGTTTCCCAGCAGATAAAATCACCACATAGCACACGCCTTTCAACCATCTGCCACTAAAAGAAGAACCAATGTTGGGGCGAATCAGGGACAAATGGAGGAAAAAACCCTCCCAGAAATGGCTTCTTGAAAATGGAATTAAAGACAAAAAATATGAGAGAAAAGAAAAATGAAAATCACAAAAGAGAGAAAGAGACTTTTTTTTTTAAATGAACACTTTTAAAAGCAGTTTCCTATTAAGCTGTTCTGATTTTTCTGTTTTAAATCCCATTCCATACAGAGAGAATTGGAACAATAAATGAAATATTGATGAAAAGTAAGGAAAAAACATCAAAATTAGCAGACGTTAGGAATATGTGGAGTTACAGGCCTAATCCTACAAACACTTATGTACTTTCCCCATCCAAATCAGTGTTTGAAAGATTGGATTCTAAAGAGTTTAATTTGTCTAAGAGAAACTACATTTGACTTTTTTACTCACCTAAAATCTCTTTGGTTGGTTGATTTTTGTTTTATTAAAATAGGGAGGGGTTTTCTGGCAAGGAAAAATATAACCTTGAACTGAAAACTGAAATATGGCTGTCTCTTGTTTTATTGACAGCACTAAAATAAGAGATACCATTACAAAATCTCTTCTCTAGCTAAAGGTGGACAGTGCACAGGGTATTTCTGTTTAATGTCTCGGTTTATTTCTTTGTCAAATGAGACAAGTACAATACAGTCAATCCCACTAAAGTGGCTTGGTTTCCAGCACTGAAAAAATGTCTAATCTTGTCTTACACTAGTTTTCATCAAAATAAATATAATTTTGACAGGTTTTTTTGCTACCAAAGTCTCTGTGAGAAATATTTGTAGTGACCTTTGTACTGAGAGAAGAGATGCCAAAAGTCATTAAAAGTTATATGACAACATAGCTAAATTGAATACAACAGTTTAATCTGAGACCATTTGAATTTCTCTGTTGTGATTTTTTTCCTCAGAGAAACGCAATAGCATAATACCCAGCTGCATGATAATATTGGCAAGCAAGGCAATGAATTTCTACTGCAAACCCCAACACTGAATGTGCTGTGTTTTTAAAGAAATCCCCTTTTGTACGAGATATGTAATGCCCTTTTGTGCCAAAATGGTTTGCATAATAATGGTTTTCTTTAGTTATTTGTTGTCACGTGGTGGAGCTGCTAAGTGAGCTAGGCACTAACAACATAAAAGACAATTTTCCCTTTTCCCTAAATCTTTTGTGTGTGTATGTCTTTTAGAATTTAAAAACTTTTGTGTGTTTGGAAAAGATATCCACTTATTAACATTTCAGGTATAATTATTACTTTTCCTAATTTCTACCTTCTCAGTTGAGCATTTCTTCAGAAGAAGAAGAAGAAAAGAAGCAGCATTATTTCCTCCCCACTCATGGGAACCTCTAACATCTTAAAATAATGGACTAGATGCTCAGCTAATGTAAATCAGCATAGTTCTATTCAAGTCAATGGTGATATGTTGACTTACACAAGCAGAGGAACTTGTGGATAGAATCCTCTGATTATAGAGGCTGAATGAAATTAATGTTAATTGAGCAAGTTGTGCAACGTACATGAACGATACATTATGCCTTTGTGATGAAGGCTACTAAATGACAAAAGAGGGCTTTCAAAAGTAACTGCTGCAAGGGAAAAATTCTTTCATAGCTTCATTCAAAGTGTTCTTAAAAATGTATTTAAAACTTTAGTACTTTTGTGTCTTTTGGTCTAGAGTGGTAGCAAGAAATATTCTCAAATGAGCTATAATTACACTAAAATGGGGCTTAATCCTGTATCCAATAAAAGCAGGATTGAATTTTAAGGTCTAGTTTTTCAGCTAACGTAAACTAGTGTAACTCTGTTCCTGTAAATATTTTGAGTACTTAGAAGCGACCATAGGATTTTTCCATTGACGTTATTAGAGCTAGGCCAATTTACATCAGCTGAGGATCTGGTCATTAAATTGTAATATTTCAGGAAAGAGCATCTGGAGAGTTAATGTAAATCTATTTAGTAAACATGTTTTAACAAACAAAGAACACCTCACAAAATTAGACACGGAAGGAAAAAACATACAGAGTCCTAAAATGTGGCTCTCTTTTTACTTTTGTGTGCCACTATAAGGGTGGGGTGGGGGTGGGCATTATAATCAAACCAACAAAATTAACATGAAAAAAATCTACAAATTTTATCCATATATTGACTACATATTACTGCCAGCTGAATATATATTTCTATGTTCTTTGTTATGTAGAGCACCAAGAAATCATCACAGCTTCAAGCAGTTATCATACTATCAGGACCAGAGACAGAGAGAGAGAGACTATCACTACAAGCAAAAAACAAATACTGGAATGAAGGTAAGAAAGGATTAACAAAATTATTCATTCTTCATTTCTTTTAATCTGAAATCTCACAATTAAACTGCAAACTGGCTCATCTTGGTTGGAGAGCTGATGCTATTAATGCACTCCTGGATAAACAAGCTATTAATCTATTAACTATAATCAGATATATTATCTTAGATCATTCCTTCCTTCAGGATAACCTGTATGAAAGCTTCCTGGGAGGAAGAAAACCCTGGGAGGAATTTTCCCAAATTAATTGTCAGGGAGGGACAGGCTTTACCAGTACTGCTACTGGTTGCTCCCCAGTCCTCCATAAAATAGAGAGAAGTTTGGCTCAAACTCGTAATCCCTATGATATGCACAGATCTTAGGAGAAGAGTCCCTTCTCTTCAATTACCCCTTTTCCTCCAGGCTTCTATAACTCTCTTGTTCTTCCCTAATAGACATAACAAGACTTTTGATGTGCTCATTGTTTCCCCTTTTAATTTCTTTAGATATGTTGACGTTTTCATTCACGCACTGAAATTAGAGCTGAATGTTTCCAATATACAAAAAAATTGCCTTTTCAAATATGTCACGTTCATGTAAATACTTCAGAGTGACACAGATGGTCAAAAAAATCGGGGCAATAAATCACTAAGCTGGGGAGGGTTGTGGTTTTTTCCCCTGAAACAAACAGCTGTTTTTTCCACAGCCCTGAACGTAATGGACTATCCAATTGTAAAAAAAACACCCACTCTTAGTAAAAATGCTAATAACCCATCAAAAGATTCACCATGTGCCACCCCCATATTGCATACTATATGTGATTTATCTTGTGTTATAATAAAGGCAAAAAATGCAATTGATACAAATGTGAAGAGAGCCATTCAATTTGTATTTATTGTATGGGAAACAGAAAGGGGTTCCAGGGCTAACCCCAGCTCCCAAGCTCTTAGGCTTCGCGTAAATGGGTTCCACGAAGGAAGCCTCTAATATTACTATTATATAATAGTAGCCTAAACCTAAGGTTACAGCAGCCCCCACTGCTCCTGTGCCCCTACTTTGCTAGGGACAATGCTGATTGTATGTCCCCTTCTCCCTTATCTCTCACATACATGCACTGTCCTGGCTCTGCTGAATTTGAGGTCATCTGCAGAAAGGGGGCAAGGATGTATCCCACAACAAAGTTAATTTTATCACAGCAAAACTTCACTGTAATTAGAGTTGCAGTTTGCACATTTCAATGCTTTGAAACAACTGGAGGTCTCATTTTCCTTCCCTGAAAAGAGAGTTTTATATTCAAGTTTCAGAACAGTAAGAGGGAGCCGCACTAAAGTTGAATTAACTTATAAAATGTGTTTAACTAAAAAGTATAGAAAACTTTCTTTATGCTTTAGGGCATAAGCTAATCACCAGGAGGAAATTTGCCCCCTATATTATTGCACATTAATCTTAATTATTGAGCATTAAGAATAACGAAAACCCAGATCCAACCACTGTGTGGAAAAGTTTGGGTCTGGATCCAAGAATTGTGCCTCAATTTTAATTCATTGCTTCTGAAATTTTAACTGATTGCTCTGAGAGAAAGGATATCAACTTAGATGGGCTATGGGTGTGTTCCAGTATGGCAATTCCTAGGATACTTCCACTGCAGCAAGAAGGTGATATAATGCATTTTTTACATAATATTTTTCTGCTGCAGTGAAAGGTTTCATGTACTTTTCAGGTTAAAAATCCTTTTTTTCTTCTGTCCAAAAAGCTGCCAATAGGTTAGCCAGATTCTTCCAAGCGGAGATATTTGTATTATTTGCAAGATGACCTATATGGGTGTGGGGGTGGGGGGGGAAATCCCTCTTCTTCCTAGATAATTTCGTAGTTCTCATGCAAATTATTTAGAACATCTCCTGCTAGGTAAAACTTATACAAGAGACCAGAAAAGTATGAAGCATAAGAAACACCACTGAGCTTGTTCACCCTATTTGGAGGGAAGTTCTATAGTTCCTGTAAATTATCATTGATCTCATCAATTCTTTTGCACAAATAATTAAACCATACATATCTGCTGTATTCAGAACTGGCCTGGTCTCATATCACTAGAAATACATGGTGTATAGTTAGACATAATTTTAATGTACCATACATAGGACATAAATGTGATTGATTTCAGAATTGCATTTCCTAGACAATCACTCCCATATACTTTACACTTTATGCAATATATAAAGAGGTTTGTTGTGTTGGGGGGGGTTCTTTTTTTGGTGGAGGGGTTGGTTGATTAGTTTTGTTGTTGTTTTGTTTGGGGTTTGTTTTGTTTTTACTATGTGGCCAGTTGACTTGATCATTAAGGAACATCAAGGAATGAAGAAGGATGCTTTCTTGAAGTCAATGGAGTAAACTTAACTGGGTCTGATTCAGTTCCTAGTGTGTTCAGTGATCACACAAGATGCTTGCAGGAGCTCTGCTTTATTCTGAGTACTGTCCAACTGACTATGCAGAACAATAACAATCATCTGGAGAGCAGCTCTTCTCTACTGCTGCTCCTGCTCCTCCACTTCCCTATCAGACAGCTCCTCCTTCTAAGACTCTCATGCTCACCAGTCCCCATCCCCCATGGGCCACCGCTGCCAAATTTCCTCCCTACAAGGAAGCCCCTCGATTTCCTATGGCACAGAAGAGAAATTGTTGTTGCTGCTGTGATACATCCCCCACTTGGAAGGAGTGCTGTGGTGAGGGAAGGCCATTCCCTCAGCGTGAGACCTACTACTTCTGGAGCACCTGCAGGGGAAAAGGGGTCAGAGAGCCCTGGTAAGTGGGGCCTGGGATCCCCAGAAAAGGAAGATGAGAGGGACTGAGAGCCCAACCAAAGGAAGTGGGTAGAGAACCAGATAGCCACAACTGGGTAACTATGACCCATGTCAGGTGACTGGGGTCAGGATATAAAGAGGTGCTCTCCTGTATGTCACAACTTTATGACGGGACAGGAAAAGGAGAGCAGGAAGGTCCAAGACAAAGAATAGAGAGTCCGGTACAATGAATGGCATAGGTCTGATAGGCTGGTGTGAAGGGAGGTGGTATCATTGTCCTATCCTCCCATTACCCATTTCAGGTCATCTAGTGGTGGCAGGTGGGGAAAAACCCTCCACAGCACCATCCTGAAGCAAGCTCTATATTGGACAATAAAAAGGCAGCTTCCAATATTAAAAAAGCCTCATTAAGGCCTTTGACCCATATGGATTGGGCCCAAAACAGGAAAAAGAAACATTAGGTGCAGCAAGCCTACCCTTATACTATCTGGAAAAGAGTAATTTGATTACACCAAACATACAGACCAGGATAGATATATTTCCATTCCCTTGCTGTGACAACTCCATTTCAAGCAAACTGAGCCCTTTTACTGCTCTATGACCCCTAAATATGAAAATGCAAAGTTCAGCCAAAACAGAGTCCCAGAGAATTTTAAGATCTGGGATAAGGTGGGGATCCAGTCACTGAGAAAGCTTTTCAAAATAGCCAAGTTCTGAGTCTTGAAGAATAAAAAGGAATAACATAAAATGTTCTTTAGCTATATATGTTTTAACACAAAGGGTTTATTCTTACATGTTGGCATGTCTTTATTGGCGCCATTTATTTTTATAGCAGTGAGAGCATGACTGCTTTTATGCCACTGTATTTGATTGTGTATGACCGTTGCTTTAAATTTACAAGCATCTCTTGTTGTTCATGAAGGGAAAAAAAAATCTCTGTAGAGTGTTTCGTTAGCTCCCTGTTGAAGTTAAGCAACAGATATCTATGGAAAACTCTTAAAGGATTATTCCTAACGGTGCCAGTGGGACCCTGGCTTTGCTTATAAAAATATATGTGCCACTAGAAGCCACAAAGATACAATTGTCTCAGATTTACTCCAGGAAGAATTATCAACTTTCTTTCAGCTGAGGTACACGAATGTGGATTGCAGCATATACCAATATTCTCTGAAGTGGGTCAGTGTTTGTGCTGGGTTCCAGACACCTTGTGTCCTGATTCTCTTATGATTTATGCTGGTCAAGAATAATTCACTTGAAGTCAAGTAATTTCACTGATTTAGTGGAATATATCCTGAATTACACTGATGTAAATCATAGAAGAATCAGACCCATGAACTTTAACACAGAAAAGATCATCTGACACTTGATAGATTGTTGCAGGAATGAACAACAGAACGTTTAGAGTCTCGGAAGACCATTGTCTCCCAAAGTTTGTCCCAGTTTGATCCCAGAAAATGTAGTCACTCTTGTTGAAGTAAGCTTGATCTCATTTTAACAAAAGAACTCTGTACATCAGCCTTTTCTTTCTACGAGAACAGTAGTTTTTTTACTGTGCCTCAAGAGACAAGTTTTCTCAAAGAGATTGATGCGAGATCCTTATAGAGTTGAAGAAACTTTGTGAAAACCAAATTATATACCCAGGTCTTATAAGGAAAGACTGCCTGAAAAGGAGCTGTCTCAGATGTTCATATTTAATGATCAGTTATTTCTCTTTATTCCCCCCATTAACTTATTTCATAAAGTTCCCATTCTCTTAGAGGTGTGTGGGGTCAAGCAGCAAAATTCAGACCTGGATCTGGATTTTTAACATCTTCAGTCCAGTGACATCTAGGGATATTCAGATCTGGGGTTCTAGTTTGGGCCCATCTTGGACTTTCTCGCCAAACTACAGATGATCTCATGGGTGAATTGTTGTAACAGCATCTTCCCTGACAGTTGGGTGCTTGCTAAATAGATTTCTTCTCATTGTCTACATACTGTTGCTAGGAAAAAACAGCTGATTAGAGAGCAGTGTAGTTGCTAGTTAATGTCATATACACTTGATAGAAGTCTTATCAGAAGCTCACACACTCACATGAATACTCGTGATTAGAGTAGTTTTATCAATATAAAGACACCCATTCTTTTCATTACCTGTTGGAAGCAATCTTTTCTGAGCTAAGTTTTAAAGCTTCAAAGCAATATTGCCTGTCACCCCTCACTACTCATGCCCATCTCGCCATGACG